CCCCCACCATCTTAGTTCAACAGTCTCAAAAAGGATGTTAATTACTTGTTTTATGACAAATATTATTTCTTCATTTTTTTAAAACTAAACCAAACATTGTCAAGATTCTTATTTCCAAGGCTGCAGGTAGGACATTTGATTATAGCATTATTTGACTATTGAATTTGAACACAAAGCTTACGTCCTTTTTGAGTTTACACATGACAATCTAGTTAAATTTTCAATTTAATATTATTTTTCTTGGCCAAATCTGGTTGTTTTACTCATTTATAATTTCATTGTGTTGCTAAGTTGTTGAATTTTGTAATCCTTATTTGAATTTTTTTTTTCAAAATTACAAGATGTCCATAATAATGTTCCGAAATTCTACCTAATATTAACACGAGAAATGTAAAATCAAACATCGAATGGTTGAACCAAAGGTTTAAAAAAAAGAAAAGAAAAAAAGCATCCTATTTTAGTTGCAAACAAGCCAATTTTAAAGCTGAACTAGCAGGCTACTAAACTATCAAAATAGATTCCAAATTTTTTTACGTTCGATTTATAATTAGATCAATTCTCCATTTTTCGGATTGAACTGACCACATTCTTACAACATTGATCCATACACAACTAGAACTCTTATATTAGTCAGTAGATATTACATCCCAACCTATTTTTAACGATAAATATTCTAAAATCAGGATTAGGGGTGAACGCAGTTTCATTTGAATGATTTGCACTATATTTTCAATTCAAATCATTTCGTGCGGTTTGAAATTTTTACAAACCATTTTATTTTTCGAACCAAACCAAATCAAACCAAACCATACTTTGCGATTTGGTTTGGTTTTAATCCGCGGTTTACCTATCGACATTATAGTAATATATTTAACATAAGTTAAAGCATAAGTTTAAACGAGAATTAATAATGTTAAATTACATTCATTTTTAACATGAAACCATTGAATAAATTATTTTCAAAATTGGTTGCTAAAAGATGTTAATAAATACATTTTTCTTTATTTTTATTTACCTTTACTTGTTTGACTTTCATATTGCCACATAACGGTTAGTAAATGTAGAGTTACATTCTGCTTTTATAGTTTGGTTAAAACTCCATTTGTCTTTCTAGTGAGATGTTAAATAAGGATTGAACAAGAATATTTACATGTAAAAAGATTGATAGAGTTTTGACTTATTGGGAATTGACGAATTTCATTTTCTAACTACTTTACGCAAGTACAAGATAGTAGCGTTAGTTAGGGAACTTTAACATTTCACACAATCAGTAAGCTTTGTCATTCTTTCTTTCTAGACCAAAAATAAGTTCATTAATCATCTAGACACAAATACTTATTTTTCCATCGAAATCACAACTCACAAGTATATGATAAGTTCAAAAACAACAAATAAAAGAAAAAACAATGGAAAAATGACTTGAATGAGAATCTGAGACTTACCAAAAGAGAAGAAAGAAAGAGGCGATTTAGTAGAAATTAACAAACTAACAGGCAAAGGCAACTGGTGATTCGTTCAGCAGTGGCAGACAAGCATCAAATGTTAGAGAAATGAGAGTTTATGTTAGGTTTTCTGAAACTTTAGACGTGATTTGTCGACGTAGTTTTATTGAATTATGATTTGAATTGTTGAAAATATTTTTTTTTTTCATATTATATGATTTTGGAGTAATTTTAGTTTAGTTTAGATATTGGGCGAGGATATGTGGTGTGAATTTATTAAACCATAGGTCATTTATGATGAACCTATTTACTTTCTATTGTTATTTCAACGGACTAGTAGTAATTTGTATCGCTAAATTGGTATTTTTTCCTGAAAAGTGAAAACTGTAAAATTTTTAATTTAATAAAATTAATGCTTTAATAAAAAAATTGAAAAATGGTTCGATTTGATTTTATGCGATTTTTGAAAATCAAAACGTAAACCATGGTTTGGTTCAATTTAAAGGAAAAACCAATCAACGGTTTCAAATCAATGATTTCGGTTCTGTTTTGTAGTTTCGCGACTTTTTGTGAAGCCCTATTCAGGATGAAGGTTTTATTATTCAAAATTCAGACATTTCATATTTAAATATTAAATATTATAAATACAAATTTCATCATAGACCCTAAAAATTACTTACCACTTTCCTCTTCCTCTCTCTCTCTATTCTCACCCTCTTTACCTACCATACCTCTCACTGTTCCGGCTCCTCACCTGACTCCAAAACCTACCCTCATTTAAGGGCAACAAGCGACGGTAGTAGAAGCGCAGCCTCGAAAACCTAGTTGTGCATAGTGATGCCTCATTGTAGATAGCATCACTTAGCAGTAGGGCGAATTTTTTTGGTTGGTGGTTTTCTGATTAGATCTACTGTGGGTGGCTTGTTGATTGTTGTGGTGGCAATGTATGGTGCGGTGGTGTGCAATGGCGGAGGTAGGGATGACAATTTGAACTATCAAAATCGAAAACCTCGGTTAACCGAACCGAATGGGGTGAAAAAACCGAACCGATGGTGTAATGGGGCGGATATGATTTTTATTTTAATGAACCGGCTCTTGGCGGTGCGGGTATGGTATTTACGCCGTCGAACCGATTACCCGCTAAAATAAAAACAATTGAATTGATTATTGAGCTTTACACTACTTTTCTATCTAACCCAAAACAAAATCATTCCCTCCCCCCAATTACATCTACATGATTCAGTCGGCCAACCCACTTATCGTTAGCCCATAATAATAGCATTAGTATGATATTATATAAATACAAACCTTACTCTCGACAAACCACAAAGTCACGTACGGGCTCCTTTTATTGTTAATTTTTTTCTATTGAGTGTAGAAAATTCTACTTCTTCATCATACTCTAGAGCTTGTGCAACGTTTAGCGAGAAGAAAGCTGAAGAAGAGGTATATTTTTTTTATTTAAATTTTAGTTAAAACCATTCTAGAATAGGTAGTATCGTTGTATTCTCTACTTACATTTCTTATTTACTATATAGGAATCAACTTTGAGCGTTGATCCATGCTAGTAAGATTTGTGGGGAAGAATGAATCAAGTAATTTCAATGCACAATAATTAAGAACGAAGGAAAAGTTTAATATTGTTGTATTTATAATATTGTTTGTTAAATTTGTATTTTACAATTGAAAATTGGGATAATATTTGCTTTTTCGTTTGAAATATTGTTTGATAATGTTTGCATTTTCATTTAAAATATTGTTTTTGTTTTCATTGACTTTTTTCATAAATTGTTTTATATCAATTTGATGGATGAACCTATAAAAAATAATTTATTTTCGTGGTTATTAACCGAACCGAACTGTGCTGAACCGAGATAATAACCGAACCGATTTACGTGGTTATGATGCGGTTATGGTATGGCCAAAAAATTGGTGGTGCGGTTATGATTTTGGCCGAACCAACCCATAACCGAACCGTTGCCAGCCCTAGGTGGAGGTGGCAGGTGGGTGGGCGACGATTGTGGTCATGGTAGTGGTTGCGGTGGTAATGGTGATATGTTGGTGGCGATGGGTCTGTCAGGGTGGTGGAGGATCTGGCATGACGATGTGGTGTTTTTCTGCGATATTTTGATTTGTTTGAGGTGGTAGTGCTGCTGTTGGGAGGTGATACCACTGCTAGAGGTAGTGGCGAGATGGTGATCCCCAAGTGTTGGTGGTGATCATTAATTATTTTGTTAATTGTGACTATTAAATTCATTAATTTGTGACCGATAAACAATATTTGACCATTGAAAAAGATAAATTGTGATCAAGAAATAATTGTTAATTCGTGACCAATAAAATTGTTAATTTGTGACCTTTAATTTGATAATTTGTGATTGTATAATAAGTAGTGACTCACAATATTTATGATTTGTGATCGATAAATAAATTTGTGACTGGTTAAATCGTTAATTTGTAATCAAATTGTATAAATCTATGACCTTACTATATTTAGCCCCCATTTGGTAGCAAATTTTCATCCCTCAAAATCAATTTTTTGACCGTTATTTCATTATTATAGTTGTCATTTTTTACTTATTCACTTATAGGTGGAACCCATTTTTTTATTTAACATTCAAAAAATCAATTCTCATAATCACTACTTAACATGCTCTTAATTAATAAAATATATAGTTAATTAATTAAACCATAAATAAATATACGATTTTTGAAATTTGAAACCTTTTGTTCTTGGTTTTGAAATGGGTGATATTTAACCTCTTGGTTTTGAATTTTTCTCTATTTGTTATAGCATGTTTGGAAAGATGGACTAAACACTAGAAATATTAAGGAGAAGAAACTAAAATTATTGTGATTTTATTATCTAGTTTTCTATGCCAAACTTGAACTATTATTGTATGTTGAGTCATACATTACGAAGCCCTCGTTTGGTTCCCATTAAAGTAAATTTCATTTTTCTCTTTTATATTTTCAATCATACAATCTTTCATTAAATAATATTATACGTAAATCGAAAAATTTTCCTTCTTTTCAAACGCTCATTCTTAAAAAAAATACAATTACGCTCATTTAATTTGAAAAAATGATAGCCAACCGGAGGCAAAATTTTAAGTGGGCTATGTCATACCGAACATGCGCAAACTCAATCTTAATCTATCATCCACAGTTCATTTTCTTCTTTGCCTCAAAATTTGATTTTTAGGACAGTTGAGATTGTGAGATGGGGACAGGGACTCATCCACGCAAAGCCCAGGACAGTTTTCAAGAACTCTTAAATCCTTTCAATTGCACGAATGAGTACTATATACTAAACAGGGGGCAGTGTCCTAGAACTCAAATCTTCAGAAGAGGAGGATAAAGGTTCATTTCAGTTGCATCTAAGCAGAAAACAGATGCAACACGTCATTCTTGTAGATCCAATATGAATGCCAGGAAAGAGTAGCAGTAAAAAACAAAGCCAACTGGCTAAAACCCACTGGTTTTTCTTACTATATAATACACTGAAAGGGATTAGAACAAAATGCACATAGTCTATTTACTAAACCATTTAAAATCTCTGATATGCAGAAGAACAGCAATAAAGTATCAACTTCTTCAGCTCCCACAGATTAAAATATTATCACGTGCTTAGCCACATGACCACACACTGAAATTGTAACAACTAATATGGAAGTCAGGATTGTAACATGATACGGTCAAAGAAGCATCACATGATGATCCACTTGCATTGGATTCCCAGTATATTTTTCAAGAAATTTAGGTATATAAACTTCAAAAACAAGAACTTAATCACCCCATCAAATTTCTTCTGTCATCGTTTTATCAAACAAAAGTGAAAAGTAATCATAAACATAATTATGAGGTTCCACTTGAGAATGATGATCTCGTTAGTTCTTGCACTAGTTCTGATTCTGCAATCTCACCTGCACGAAGCGCAAGGAGCCCGTCTCATGACAGAGACAAAAGCATCCTCTAAAAGTATAGATTCATCTACACAAGCTTTTAGAAGTTTGCATCCAGATGAGAAGAATCCATTCAAGAAGGTGAAATCAAGCTTTCGAAAAGTACCTCCAAGTAGATCAAATCCCACGCAGAATAAGTAACTTCTAACTCCCAAAATGTTCAAGCCCTTTTCCTCGATAAGAAGCTTTACTCAGACATCATTTTCTTGTACCAGGTTCAAGCCTCCATAGGATTACTGAAGACATAATCAACCAAGAGTACCCGCCAACAAATTCTTTCATTTTGGATTTGACGTAGTTAGCTGATGTAATAGAGTTTATGCTTTTTATCGCGGACAAGGCTTTTTGCACCTTGCAATGCAACCAGTTTTGATTTAGTCACATTTTGCTGTTTAATGTAATTCCCAACTTAGATGTATGAAATCAACACTTCTCTTCGTAGCTGCCGATCCAATTTTGCCTAAGCTACATAGCATATTAGACTTGAGCAAAGAACGAAAATTGCACAAAAAAAAAAAAAAAGAAAAGAAAAAAAAAAGAAAGAAAAGGAAGTTGATAATGTTTTCATTATAATCTGTCTGATCTGAGGTAAAAGCTGAAAACTAAACCACAGTAGCTAATAAAAGATCAAATACTATCAGATTTACATCCCCCTCTTCTGCCTCTTTTGCAAAGACTTTAACAAAGCATCTTACCTGCGCCCTTTTTTTTCCACAACAGTAGTCGATTTATCATCTTGGAGAAGTTTTCCCCCTTTAGTATTCTTCGTAGCATCGTTTTTGCCTTTAAAAGTGTTGTTTCTAGAGTTTGACGTTACTTCTTCGAAACCAATCCGACAGAATAACCTGAATGTAAAGAATTGATCAACAGGATGTAAAAAGTAATTCGAGCCCACCAACTTCACGATATTTCCTTAAAACGAATTTGCTGCCTTCAATGATGCTAAAGGTGTCCAGCAATCGTTTCCCAGGATAGAACGAATTTTCGTCTCCTACGGAAGCAACACTGCAATCTGCAGAAGTTCCAACAAACTCAACGAAGTATGTTTTACTTCGAGACAATATCAGAATGAAAGAGAAGGGAATGAGATTCAAAGCACAGAAAGTTTACAATGAAAATGGTGTAAATTTTCTGGTAGAGAGGTTGGCTATTTATAGACTTGTTCGTGGTCATTCAAACAGTCATCACCTTTCAGACAAACCTCAAAATCCGAACCGACGTGTTGTTTTTAAAAGTCGCGTCGGTTAACAATCAGCTAACAGTTGATTGTTTGGTCGGTAAACAGACGACTGTTAAAAGAAAATAAAACACCCGGAATAAACCAAAATTTAAATTTCATGATGTACCCAAGAGTTTGATTATTTACAATTTGGCCCAAAATTTTAAATAAATTTTGTCCAAAAAGTTAATATAGTGCAAAGGTTCACCCGCACCCACATCGAACCGAATCGGACCAGATTTAGACACAGGCACGTGCTCGTGCCGAGCCGAGCCGATCGACCGGTTGGACGGACGGCGACAGCGGCGCGAGCGTGTGGGTTTATGACTAAACCCAAGAGGATATAGATCTTCCCCCTTCCAAAAACTATTGGTACCCTTTGGGGCCGAAACCCAGTTCTAAACTTTCACCTTATAAACCACACCAAAGTTTCCTAACTTTCCTATGTGGGATAAGTATTTGGAAAATCAAATTCTTCCATAATACTTAGTTTATGTGGGTTACTTTAACATTTAATATTTCATTCAATTTTAAATGATTTTCTATAAATAAATATATCACGTTAATCATTTCGCGGAGTAGAACGTGAATATGCTAGGTCTCGTATTAATTAAAAGGTGGGTCCTACTGAAATTTGGGCTCAAAGTTGACCCATTTCATAACCATTTTTTCCAACAATCCCCCACATGAATGAAATATGTTTGCCTTATTCCAAACGATAACATCTTATATGTTTTTCAAAGAAAAAACTGAAGAAGACCGCATCGGGATAAGTAGTCAATGACTTTGAACTTTCCCTAATAAAATCTATCGAATTTCTTTAGCCAATCAGTAGCAAGTTGCTTTGAACAGTCAGTCGTTTATGGAAACTTAAACAATAGAAGTCACACAGTTTTCTTCGAACACAGTTGGTTCTCACGTTTGTGTTTCATGAGTGGTTTTTAGAGAATTCATCTTCACCTAATTCTCTTAGAAGCGGCCCCTTCTCACTCATATAGGTGATTTCCATAAAGAGTATTCTGCTATACTACACTTGAACGAATAAAGATATATAAATAATTAAAAGCGTATCTTAACCTATTTCACGGCAGCTGGGCACTGACTCATCATAGGAATGGGTAGAAGTAAAATCTTCCCAGTGCATACTAAGTTTTTCACAGTTCGATTGTCCTATTGAACCTAGATCTTGGGATCTCCAGTCAACTAGATTGGGTTGCCACCATGGAAACTTTTGATTATTTTATTAGTTTTAATCTCATTCCCTTCGATGAACTTTCAACTTGCTCTCTTGTTAAAATTTTAGTTAGCGGATCCGCAATATTCTCTTTTGATTTCACATACTCTATAGAGATAATGCTTGTAGAGAACAATTGTCTAGCAGTATTGTGTCTACGACGTATATGTCGAGATTTACCGTTGTACATTGCATTTTGTGCCCTACCAATTGCTGATTGACTATCGCAATGGATACATATAGCAGGCATAGGTTTTGTCTAACATGGAATATCTTCTAGAAAGTTTCGTAGCCATTCAGCTTCTTCTCCGGCTTTGTCTAATGAATGAATTCAGATTCCATTGTTGATCTAGCTATACATGTCTATTTTGAAGAGTTCCACAATATTGCAGCACCTCCAAGTGTAAAGACATATCCACTTGTTGATTTGGAGTCTTTAGTAGCTGATATCCAATTTGCATCACAGTATCCTTCAAGTACTGTTGGATATCCCGAATAGTGCAATCCAAAATTTTGGGTATGTTTTAAATACCCTAAAACTCTAACAATAGCCTTCCAATGATCAGTGATTGGATTACTTGTATATCGACTTAGCCTACTAATTGAATAGGCACTATCAGGTCGAGTGCAATTCATGACGTACATTAAACTGCCAATAAAATGAGAGTATTCTAATTGAGACTTACTATCACCAGTATTGAAAACAAGATGCATACTAACATCCATATGTGTTTTCATAGGAATAATATTATACTTCTTGAATTTATCAAGAATCTTCTCAATGTAGTGTGATTGAGACAATATGAGACCATCAGATGTTCTAGAAATTTTAATTCCTAATATAACATCGGCCACACCTAAATCCTTCATTTCAAATTTACTTGTTAGCATCCTTTTTGTAGTTTGAATTATGGTATCATTGTTACCCATAATCAACATGTCATCTACATATAAACATACCATGATATATCCATTTGAAGTGTTCCTGACATAAACACATTTGTTACACTTGTTAATTTTGAAACCATTTGACATCATAACCATGTCAAATTTTTCATGCCATTTCTTAGGAGCTTGCTTTAATCCATATAGTGATTTAACAAGTCGACACACTTTCTTTTCTTGTCCTGAGGCCACAAATCCTTCAGGTTGTTCCATATAAATTTTTTCATCTAATTCCCCATTCAAAAATGCCATTTTAACATCCATTTGATGTATATCCAAACCATTCAATGCTGCTATTGCAATAAGCATACGTATGGATGTGATTCTTGTCACAGAAGAATAGGTATCGAAATAATCAATACCTTCTTTTTGCTTGTAGCCTTTAGCGACAAGTCTTGCTTTATATTTGTCAATTGATCCATTTGCTTTCATTTTCCTTTTGAAAATCTATTTACATCCCAAAGGCTTATTACCTGGAGGGAAGTCTACTAATTCCCAAGTATGATTTTGTAGTATGGATTCAATTTCACTATGAACAACTTCTTTCCAATATGAAGCTTCAATTGATGACATAACCTCATTAAAACTTTGAGGTTCATTTTCTAACAAATATGTTAGAAAATCAGGCCCAAAAGAGGTTGACGTCCTAACCCTCTTACTTCGTCTAGGTTGTTCATTTATAGATTCTTGATCTATAATCTTTTCATTTTCACGAGATCTCTTTTGTGAATTTGATTCACCTTGCATGTTATAAGGAAAAGTATTTTTGAAAAATGTAGCATCCCTTGATTTAATAATTGTATTAACATGCATATCAGGTACTTCAGACTTATATACCATAAATCTGTACGCATTACTATGGTAGGCATAACCAATGAATACACAATCAATGGTTTTAGGTCCTATCTTAACCCTTTTAGGTTTAGGAACTACTACCTTAGCCAAACATCCTCATACCTTCAAGTATTTATAATTAGGTTTCTGACCTTTTCATACTTCATAAGGTATCTTTTGCGTTTTTCAATGTGGTAGTTTGTTAAGAATATAGTTGGTAGAAAACAAGGCTTCCCCCAGAAGTTCTGTGGTAATCAAGAACTTATTAATATAGCATTCATCATCTCCTTCAATGTTCGATTCTTGCGTTCAGTAATATCATTAGATTGAGGAGAATAAGGCGCGGTAGTTTGATGAATAATTCCGTGTTCCGAATAGAATTTCTCAAATGGTGAATCATATTCACCACCTCTATCACTTCTTATGGTCTTAATCTTTTTGCTAAGTTGATTTTCAATTTCTAACTTGTAGTGTTTAAACACTTCAATTGCTTCGTCTTTGCTTTTGAGCAAATACACATAGGAATATCGAGTACAATCATCGATAAAAGTGATAAAGTACATATTACCTCCCCTAGTTTGAACAAATTTTGAATCACATATGTTGGTGTGAATTAAATATAGGGGTTTGGTACTTCTTTCAACAGAACGAAAGGGTAGACGTGACATTTTGGCTTCTACACATATATCGCATTTGTGATTAGGATTTAAATCACGCTTTGGTAATAAATCTAATTTGATTAGTCTACGCAAAGTGTTATAATTTGTATGTCCTAATCGTTCATGCCAAATGTTAAATGACTCAAGCAAGTAAGAAGAAGATGTATTCTTATTCATGATTGGAGATACAACAGTCATTACATTCAACTTAAAAAGCCTCTCATTCAGGTAGCCCTTTCTTACAAACATTTCATTCTTTGAGAGTACAAATTTGTTCAAGACAAATACTAGCTTAAACCTGTTCTTACTTAGTAGAGAACCAGATACCAAGTTTTTCCTAATATCGGGCACATGAAGAACATCATTCAGAGTGAGCTCTTTTCACTTGTCATTTTTAGCACTATCTTCCCATGTCCTTCTACCTTGAAAGATGACGAGTTTCCCATGTAAAAATGTTCATCATGATCCATTGCTTTGTAGGTAGAGAACATCCCGCGGTTTGAGCATATGTGACGATTAGTTC